CATTATCCTGCCCATGCAATTGTAACCCCTCTGTACAGTTTGTTCACAAATAAAATAAAATAAAATTAAAAAAAAATGTAAAAAAAAAAAAAAAAAGAAAAGTTGAATCGATTACATTCATGTGATTTTAGAAATACTGTTGTACTGGTAATACTTCAGAAAATTTGCTACTGCCATAATATCTCAAAATGTAAATTTTTTATTTAAGTGAATTGGAGTCCCATTTATTAGATACCACTTACTACTAATTCAGAATAACAATGTATATCTTAAGTTCCTTCTAAATTAATTTGAGACTTTTCTTCTAATTGAGTCATAAATCATTGAGAGTCACCTACTTTCTTACAGTACAACAGTCAATGTTCAAAATGGTTCCTACTGTGTCTTCATAAAGGTGGCTCTTTTTTATGTGTGAACATTAAATATTAAAGATACAATAGAATTTATTTTTATAACCATACAATGGAATATTAGGGACAATTGAAATGATGCTTGCAAAAGACTTTTTTGGGGGCCAGTCCTAGAGCTTCAACTGTGGGTCTGGGCATTATCCCTGGGCTCCTTTTGCTCAAGACTAGCGCTCTATTACTTGTGCCACAATGCCACTTTGGCTTTTTCTGTGATTAATTGCAGAAAACAGTCTCACGGACTTTCCTGACTTTCCTCTGCAGGCTGGCTTTGAACTGCGATCCGCAGATCTCAGCCTCCTGAGTAGCTAGCATTACAGGCATAAGTCATTAGCGTCTGGCTTAAAAAGACTTTTCTTTTAAATGAGTATGGTGTTACAAAAAGTGAGGAAGGCGGGATGTCGAACCATTTCTTTTCAGTTTTTTAAAAAAAATGATTGATAACTACTGCTTTTCATGTACCACATCCATGCAATAGTGCAAGGATTTTTTCTGTTACCAAGTACTGTGTTTGATATCAGGTAGATATCAAAATCTGTTGAATAAGTGACTGATTAATAGGAAATTGGTATATTTGAATATGTGCATTTTAATATTCACTAAACTTTATTCCATTTAAGATTTAAGAAGGTGATAAAAGAGATCTTTCAATTTACTTGAGATACTCTATTACATTGGCTAAGATTGTAAAAGTGTATTTTTCCCTGAATGGAGAAGTTAATTAATTGGAAGCTAAAGAAAACTTATTTAAAATGTGACTTACAAAAACTTACCATTCAATTTCCTTAATAGATTCTTCAATTTGAAGATATTTTGGGCAGTCCTTTCTATAGAGAACACTTTCGAATATACATGGAAAGGATGGACAAGAGAGCTCTGATTGGTTTTTGGGAGTCTGTGGAACATTTAAAGAGTGCTAACAAGGTAAGGTAAATAGGCTTAAAGGCTCTTAACCACTAGCTTAATGTTAAGCCTAGCCGATGAAAACTTGCATGTTAGAAAGTCAGGAATCTTCTTTTTAATGAAACTGTTAAGGTAAACAAATATTAAAAGCATACATCTTAAATGTTCATTTAAATATTCAATTTAACAATAATAACATATCTCAGCTCATTATGGTACTTTATTTTTATAGAAATTAGTTTTATAATAATAGCTTTACTGTAATACACTACATTTTTATGAAGATGCTTCTGAATAAATAGCAAGGAAGCAAGTCATTTATAGATGTCCTAAGAGGTTGAATTTTATTTCAGGTAGTTATTTTTAACACACTGTAAAAATGCAGGTATATATCCACATTGCTATTACAATAAGCTTGTCACCTACCTATCAGTCTCCTAATACTGTCATTTGCTTTAATACATACTTTTCCTCTTTGTGTTTTTATTCTTTTTTAAAAAATTAATTAATTTATTTTTTATTGTAAAAATACTGTACAGAGGGGTTACAATTACATGGGCAAGATAATGAGTACATTTCTTATCAAACATTGTAGCCTCCTCGTGTTTTTATTCTTATCTTCGTTCATAATGTACATTTTTGCATTAGTCTTGTTTTATTTCATGAAATAATTTACTTATTATTAAGTAAAGGAGCACATAAAAGCATTTAAAAAATATTTTTATTTCCTTTAGATAGTTGTACAAGGAATTACCATTCAACAGAGCAGTTTGAATACAGTGTCTCTTGATCAATGTCACCCTTTTAAAATGTTAAAAACATGATCATTACACATATATGAATATATGTATAGTATCTATAAATGTACATAACCATGTAAAACATAAATGTATGTGATATATCAAGTATATAATTTTGAGACATTTCATTAAGATATTTATTAAATCAAGACTTTGGTTTATATAACTTGGAAACTCATTTTGCCCTCTTCAAAGTAAAAGGAATATTTTGTACATCATATTGCTTATTTGCATGAGTGCTGTTAGGACAGAATATAAATTTAAAACATACCACAACCCTGCACTGGTTAAGGAACTAAATTCAGTCTTGTAGTATTTTAAAATCTTAATAGGAATGCCTTTCATTGCTCAGTTACTAGCCACAAATTATGTCAATTTACCCAGAGTTGGTGTGGTATTTGCCAAGGTTATTAATTATCAGGCTGGGCCCCAGCTGACTTTGGGGTGCTCATAAAAGGATATCATGAAGAATGATTTAGGGTTTTCCTAAATTACTGAGTACCATAGAAATTGTCAGTGAAGTAAAGCACATTAACAGTACACTGACTAGTCACTCATATTTTCTTTGTTTACTGCTACTGTGAAGGACTTTGTATACCATTCCTAGAGAAAATGCAATGATTTTGTTAAATTATTTGTGTATTTATGAAGAAGGCTGATGATGGACCAGGTATACTGCCTAAGATTAAGCTGCCCAATATAGGTGATGACAATGTAATTATCCTGAAGTAATGATTTTGAAAGATATTAATCTCCTTAAAATGTACAATAATTATACCAACTTCAGGGGAAATTATATTTGTGGAGTGAGCACTTCAATGATTTATACTAGTTAAAAATTAAACAGTTTAGTTTATATAATGTATCTATGGAATTGACATTATGGAAAACAGTCCATTGAAGGTAGAGTATTCTCATAATTATTTGTTTTTTTTTTCCTCTAGCACTTAAAAGAAATTGCTCGATATAAAGTGTTCATTTTAAGGATCTTGTTGTTTCTGAAGCATAAGTCCCACAACTGTACTAGGAGCAGGGTATATCCCAAATAACTCCTTTTCATCTTTAACATGCACACAATTTAGTGGAAAGAATTTTTCTGGGAGGTGATATTCTTTATCTTTGTCTTTTTTCTCTTTGTCCTTTCAGAATGAAATCCCACAATTAGTTGGTGAAATTTACCAGAATTTCTTTGTGGAAAGCAAAGAAATCTCAGTGGAAAAATCCCTTTACAAAGAAATCCAGCAGTGTCTTGTAGGAAATAAGGGGATTGAGGTATTCTATAAAATCCAGGGAGATGTTTATGAGATCCTAAAGGAGAGGTACTACCCTTCATTTATTGTCAGTGACCTTTATGAGAAATTGATGATGAAAGAGGAAGAGAAACATGCTTCCCATTTGATTTCCAACAAGGATGAAATGGTGAGTCACACACAATTTGCTGTTCCTCTTTTTTAATTAGATAAACTTTATAATTAGATGAGTGAAATTTGGTGTGCAACAGTCTTTTAACATAGAAGACTAAGTGGAATATAAACAGTAACTTAAATTACCATGTTTCTTGTAGTCTTGAATACTTGTTTTTGTTTTCTTTTGGTCATGGGGCTTGAACTCTGGGCCTGGGCACTGTCCCTCAGCTCTTCAGCCCAAGGCTAGCACTCTACCACTTGAGCTACAGTTTCACGTCTAATTTTCTGGTGGTTTATTGGAGATAAAAGTCTCATGGAGGGCTGGGAAGGTGGCTCAGTGGTAGAGCACTTGCCTTGCATGCGTGAGGCCCTGGGTTCGATTCCCAGCACCACATAAACAAAAAGAAAAAAAAGCCGGAAGTGGGGCTATGGCTCAAGTGGTAGAGCACTCGCCTTGAGCTGAAGAGCTGAGGGACAGCGCCCAGGCCCAGAGTTCAGGCTCCACGACCGGACCCAAAAAAAAAAAAAGTCTCATGGACTTTCCTGCCCGGACTGGCTTTAAACCAGATCTTAGCCTCCTTAATAATTAGGATTATAGGCATGAGCCACTGGTACCCAGCTTGAATACTTCTTTGTCCACCTCTTGTGTTTACTCACTTGCTGCCCCTACTCCATTGAGTCAGAGATTTCTAAATGTCTTTGATATACCCCTAGTTTGACTCCTAAATGGGAGGCAAAAAATCTTTGTGTGCGGTATTTGTGCCTTTCACTAGTTTAGAGAATAAGTAGGCTAGTGTCCTGCTTTTGAATAAAGAAAGAATGAGGAAAAGATGATTAAAGGATGGTAATGTGGGAAGAATTATAGAAAATGATTGGGAGTTTAAGAAAAACCAGATAAAAGTATAATGTTCCAAAACAAGCTTATAAAGCCATATCTTCAGTCTAACTTTATTATAGTATACTTGATCATTGTGGATAACTTCAGGTAACATTTCTCATTTCCTAGCATAGTGATTTTTATAAGCTTTAAGACTGATATATAGAATGATAATAGTGTATCTTGGATTTTTTTCCTGCCCAGTTCACTGTATCTCCAACCCTTGGGAATCAAGTGAGTGTTTTTGATGGTATCAGAAGTCATTTTGAGGTTTCTGAACTATTGTTAAATTCCATGATGTTCATATAGACTTCCTTTCTTTTGGTTTTGTTATCTGTTTTGTTTTATATATAAAAGCACTGAACTGATAGGTCCAAACTCACTACTTACTATAGTTTATTTATTTATTTATTTTTTCAGGTAAGAGATAGGTTTATTTAGTAGACCTGCTGGGACCAGGCCAGGTTGGCCCTCCACGCAGTGGGAAAAGGCCTGGGAAAGAGAGCTGGGAGATCTGGGAAAGAGAGAGAAAAGAGCTAGAAAAAAGAGGAAAGAGCTAGAAAAGAGAACAGATGGGAAAGAGCAAGCTAGGAAAGAGAAGGAAAGAGCTGAGAAAGAGCTAGAAAAGAGCAGAGAGTGCTTATTATAGTTTATTTTTGATAGTTCACAGTTTGTTTTAACTGTGTTGTCTTTCTACTGCAAGAAATAAAATGATTGGGCAAATGTCTAAATAAGGTCATTTAAATCAATAAAAGTGTCAATACCTAATAAATCAATTGCATAAATACTTGAATTGACAGTTCACATGAGAGGAATTAGTAAACAGATGGAAAAATAGCCATATTCCCAGGATTCAAAGAAGGTCAGTTTATACAGCTGAACTTTTGGAAGCTATTAGCATTCTGTATTCCAATAATCCCTAGAAGTGGGAATATCCTAGATATGTATCCTAAGAAAATAATTAAAATGTAGAAAGTATGGTTTTGTTGTAGTTTATTTTAGTATATCTGAGCAAACAAGCAAAATCAACCCACAGCAGGAAGATACCTCAAAAATGCAGTATAAGACCATGCATATGTAAAATTTAGAATTTGTAAGCCTATAACAGCTTATTACAAAAAAAACCATTTTTTTCCAAAAAAGAGAATATTCTTTTGAATGACTCCAAGTCATAGGATTTTGTCAAGTGTATATATTTATACATAAGTAGAATCAAAATACAGAATTGAAATCAGCTTGTTTCTCTAGAACTATCTGTACTTTTTCTTTAACTTTAATTTGTTATGATTAATAAAAATTACAAGAAAAAATCTAGAAGAAAGGTGGTAGCGAACAAACCAGAAATAGTCCTTAGCCGCCGTTTGTTTCAGTGCCCTGAATGCGGTTGGCTGTTTCTGACACTAATTAATATGCTATTCAGATTTTCCTAAGTTTCATAGTTCTTTGTAAGCCACTTTTAAATGCTAATGTTTTTACTTGTACAATAAAGTGTCTTTAGATGTATAATATACATCTTCAAGAACAACATACATGCTGAAAATACTAGTGGGGTTTTGAAATTTTTATTTTAAAATGATTTGCATTCATTTTTTTGTAGTATTGATAGAAGACCAGAAAAGCTAGATCTTTGTCAAAGATGAGGCACATAATATTCAGATAGAGTTGCAATGTTAACTTAGGGGCCTTCTCTTTTTCTGTGTGGATTCCCTTGGATGTACCAAATGAGAAATAATGGCATGGAATCCTCCTCCTTTCTTTAGTTTATTATGCATTTCTTTTTTTTCATTACAACTCTGAATGCCAGTTACTTTGGTTCCAGATACTTTGATTTTTCTCTTTGACTGAAAAAAATCCCCCACTCTGACATTCTAGCCCTTTGGAAGAGTGTTTTGTACTGATACAGGATCTTTAAAGTAGACGATTACTGAATTTTCTGTTATCATAAGTTGATGGTATGCAACTTTCCCCAGGTTCCAGGAGGTGAGGCTGGGGAGGATACGGTGGATGAAGGCACCAGTGGAATTAGTGAACAAGCCAGCTTTACTGTAAGCAAACTAAGAGAGCTAAGTGAGAAACTCGAATACAAAAAACAAGCTCTAAGTTCTATTCAGAATGCGCCAAAACCTGACAAGAAGGTAAATATTGTGCTGTCAAAGCTGACTCTGAATATTTCCATTTGTCTCCTTTGATAAATAATGCTTTTCAGTCTATATTGAGAAGTTCTACTTTCTTTAAAAAGAATTTATTTATTTATTTATTTACTTACTTACTTATTTATTGTCGGTCATGGGGCTTGAACTCTAGGCCTAGGCCCTGTGCTCTTCAGCTAAAGGCGAGCACTCTACCTTTTGAGCAACAGCGCCACTTCCAGTTTTCTAGTGGTTTATTGGAGATCAGAGTCTCACAGACTTTTCTGCCCAAGCTGGCTTTGAACCGCTATCCTCAGATTTCAGCCTCCTGAGTAGCTAGGATTACAGGCATGAGCCACCAGTGCCCGCTTTAAAAAGATTTTTAACTGAGAGCAAGTTCCATGTTTTTTTTTTTTTGTTGTTGTTGTTATGGCTTTGTTTATTGCTTCTGGAATAGTGTTAGAAAAGAATTTGGAATTCTTTTGGTTTGGAATTCTTTCTCAACATCATCTTTGACTTGACTATTCTTTCTAACTAGCCTGACTATAGGGCTTTTAAGGAAGGAGGTAAGGCTGTTTTTTTTGTTGTTGTTGTTGTTTGTTTGTTTGTTTTTGTGATGGTCCTGGGGCTTCAACCCAGGCCTTGGGCTTTTTTGATCAAGGCTAGCTCTCTACCGCTTGAGCCACAGCTCCACTGTTGTTTTTCTTTTTTACCTGAAATGGTGGAGCTTTTTTTTTTTCATTTCACCTGCCACAAACACAAATTAAGGAACTCTGCAGAATTACTCAAACAGCTGTTTTGCTAAAAACTAACAGATCTCGCTAATTGGCATTTTTCTTTTTTCTTTTTTTTCTTTGTTTGCTGTACTAGGGTTGTACTTTGGACCTCACGATTGCTAGGTCTACCGCTTGAGGCATGTGTCCAGCTAAATTGGCATTTTTTAAACCAAGCTTTGCATTGCCTATGTACCTCTGAAGTCTAGCAAGGAGGTCTCTCTGATGTAGGTGGTAATAAAGTTCTGTGCTCTGCCACATGGTCTCCTCTGGCACTTTACTACATGTAACAGGAAGACAACTTTGAATTTAAAAAAATTTAGTGAATCACATTGGTTTTTTTTTTTTAGTACTTTTTAGTACTTATGTACTACTATCATGAATATCTGAATGTTTTTGTAATGAAAGAATATTCCTGAGATAAAATGTAGAGAAATCGGCATATTATGAACCTATTGATGATCTAGTCAGCAGAGTTATTCATAGGTAAGCCAGTTACTATCTAGTTAAAACCATTGTATGTTTTTCTTTCTGTTTTTGTTTTTTGCATTACAGGAGGTAGAATCTAGTTCATCTTGCATGCTGGGTAGCCAATCCACTACCTTTCCCTCACTATTTTTTTTTTAGAAAGAAAAAAAAAGGGAAAGTCTTATATAGGAGTACAATATTTGTCAATAGTTACCTTTTTTACAAAATTGTAAGGCAAAAAGAAGTTTAATATGCAAGTCACTTTAATACTCCTAATAGTACTCTGAAGAGAAACAGCGAGGTTTCTTGGTTTATCATAAGAAACAGGTTTTGTGCATAGAGAACCTGGAGAGGCGTTCAGTATTCCTGGTAAAAACAACAGCTATAAGATAACAGAATTAGCTGGACTGGTAAATAATCAGTATCTTCAGTGTGGCAGATTCCCAAAGACTAGTTATCTTATTTGTTATGAACTCATTGTAAATCAAAATGTATTTATGGAGAATAGCATGAAAGATGAACTAGAAAATGTTATTGAATTCGTTTCTGTTTGGTTCATAATTTGGTTGAAAGACAGTCTTTAGTCTTAAAAGAAATTTTAAAACCATGGAATATACATTCTGAGCTATAATTACATGAAAGAATTCTCAGGAGACTTGGAAAGATTCACTAATATGATGGTTTAATTTGAATGCTAGTCTCTGATCCCTCCAAAAGCAGGCTACATTTCCTGATAAATCAAATTGTCCACTGTTGTGTGAGTTCATAGGACTCCAGAAGCAGACATTGTACTCTTTTCATTCATGTTGGTAAATATGAAATGTAAATATAAAATTAAGGTTTTAATATTCAAGACTGACATTGAAAAGGTTTTGATGATCTAGAAGTTAATACATGCCTCAAAGGAACTTTTATTAGAATGATTTTTCTGTATTAAATATGTAATTGTGAGTCAGAACATTTTTGCATGTGTTAATACTGGTGAAAGTTTTCTTTCCCCAGAGAAGCAAGCCAGAAATATGCTTAGAACTCCTCTCAGATCTTGGCACCAGCTGCTGAACGTGAACTTAGTCTTGTAGTTTGATTGCTTGAAATCTACTGTCAGGGTTTATCTTATTTCTTTGGAGAGATTTTGTGAGTCTGAAGCAAACTGTCCATTCTGCGTTATTATTGGGAGTAAATCATTAGTCAAAGGATCTTAGTAACAGAAGTAACATGTAAATGCATGATGCATGAATAATCAGTGAAACAGTTTGACACACCTGCTCTAAAGGAGCAGACATGACTATAGAATTAAAACATTCATGAAAATAAAATAGTCACATCTTTTTTGATGATCAAATACAGGATGATGGTATATACAAGAGACACTTCCTGTAGGTCTTCTGAGGAAGAGGAAGACTGGTAGACTGTGTGTTCAGAAGAGTTTAGGGACAAAGATGCTGTTCTTACCCTTTGGGGTTCATAAAAAGATGAGTGAAATACAAGAAGATAACAAGCATAGCATTTTAAAACATTTATTTAAAACATACTTATTAACATATTTGTTGTTAAAATTTAAAGTTTATCTTTTAAACTTATTTTAAGTATAGAGGTCATTGACATTGTTTTGAAGCATCCTTCTTGAAGCATTTTTCATTATGACAGATAAAACTGACTCATTAAACAGTGACTCCTCATTTCTCCCTCCAGCCCCCACTCTGCTTTTGATCTCCATGAATTTAACTACTTCATTTGAGTAGAATCATACAGTATTTGTCCTTTATGCTGGCTTGTTTTACTTTGCACAGTGTCTCCAGTGTTTTCTTTATGTACGTGTTCAAATTTCATTACATTGTAAGGCTAATACATCACATTTTATTGTGTGAACCATTCTTCCATCAATAAACATTTCAGTTTGTTTTCATCGGTTGGCTACTTTTCACTAATAATGTTGCTGTGGAGGTGTTTGTACAGGTATCTTTTAGAGATCCTGTTTCCATTTCTTTGGTGTGTATGCTTAGAGGTGGAATTGGTGGGTCATATGGTAATCTGTTTTAATTTTTGAGAACTACCTTACTATTTTCCACAACATTTGAACTATGTCCCTTACTTACTTACTCCCTTATTAACTACCTATTCTTTCTCTCCTCCCCTCACTACTTACTTGCTTCTCTTTCCTTCCTTTTCTTGCTTTTCTCCTGCCTTTCTTCCTTCCTCCCATTCTAAAAACTATAAAGTAACAACTCATTGTGACTCTAATTTGTATTTCCCCACTAAAGAGTGTGGAATGGCATGATTGTATGTGTTTATTAACCATTTCTTTATCTTCTTTAGAGAAATACCTATTTATGTCCCTTTTTTTGGGGGGGAGGAGGTTTTGGGGCTTGAACTCTGGGCATGAGCACTGTCCCTCAGCTCTTCAGCTCAAGGGTAGCGCTCTACCACTTGAGCTACAGCTCCACTTCTGGTTTTCTGGTGGTTTATTGGAGATAAGAGTTTCACGGACTTTCCTGCCCAGGCTGGCTTTGAACCGAAATCCTCAGATCTCAGCTTCCTGAGTAGCTAGGATTACAGGCATGAGCCACTGGCACCTAGCTTGTCCTTTTTGTTTGCTGTCGAATTTTAGAAGTTCCCTGTATGTTCTGACTATTAAACTACCAAATATTTTATTTGTAAATGTTTGATCCTAGTTTGTAGTTTACCTTTTTGCTTAATTGTTAGTTCTCTTTGATGTACAGAAGTTTTGAATTTTGATGAAATACACTTTGTTCATTTTTCTTTTGTTGTCCATGTCTCTGGGGATCATACTATAAAATTATAGCCAAATCTCATGTTGTGAAGTTTTCCCCCTATGTTTTCTTCAAAGATTTTAATTTTTATAGTTCTGTTTTTTTCAAAAAATTTTTGTCAGTGATGTACAGAGGGGTTACAGTTACATAAGTAAGGTAATAAGTACATTTCTTGTCAAATACATTACCCCTTCCCTCATTTTTCTCCTGCTTTCCCTCTGCCCCACCCTCCTCACCCCTAAGTTGTGCAGATAATTCCCAACATAGTGTCTTGTGTATATTGCTATTGCTTTGGTTCTTTGTCTCACCATTCTGTTGTTCCCTTTCCCTTCACTCATTCAAATAAACTTACATATAATACCAGGGTACCAAAATCAAATACAGTGACAACAGGATATACCATAGGGGGAAGAACATACAAAAGAAACAAAAAATCACTTGAAAAAAATCATATTAAGTAAAATAAGCCAGACCCAAAGAAACATATGTCCCAGGGTTTCCCTTATTTGAAATAATTATTATACATCTAGGATGATCTTAGCAGACGCGCAGAATAGCTGAATAGCTATGTACATATGACCATGTAAAATGATGCTAAGTGAAATGAACTCCAAGACATGGACACAAGAGGCTTTTCTTTGTTGTTGTTTTTAATGTATTATGTGATTTTTCTGTTTTCTGTTATATGTTCTTCCCCCTATGGTATATCCCCTGTTGTTACTGTATCTGATAGGTTTTTAATTCATTTTGAATTACTTGTAGTGGTAAGGTCCCAACTTCTTTCCTTTGCCCGTGGAGATAGTTGCCTTGCAGTTTGTTGAAAATATTTTCCTTTCCACACTAGTGGTCATGTCATCCTTGTAGATAAATGGACTCTGTTCTCCTCCTTCTCCTCATTTTTTTTTTTTTGCCAGTCCAAGGGCTTGAACTCAGGGCCTGGACAATGTCCCTGAGCTTCTTTTTGCTCAAGGCTAGAGCTCTACCACTTTAGCTGGCCTTTTCTTTTTATGAGGTCCTGAGGAATAAAACTCGGGGCTTCATGCATGTTAGATGAGCACTCTACCACTAAACCACATTCGCAGCCCCCTCCTCTTCTTTCTCTTCTTTTTTAATCTCCTCTTCATCATTATTTTCTTCTTCTTCTTCGTTGTTGTTGTTGGTACTAGGGATTGAATTTAGGGTCTAATACTTGTTAGACTAGCATTATCCCATTTGAGCTATACTCCTGGCTTTTTTTTTGGGGGGGGAAGCCCAGTCGTGGGGCCTGAACTCTGGGCCTGGACGCTGTCCCTCAGCTCTTCAGCTCAAGGCTAGCACTCTACCACTTGAGCCACAGTGCCACTTCCGGCTTTTTTTCTTTTTGCTTATGTGGTGCTGAGGAATTGAACCCAGGGCCTCATACATGTAAGGCAAGCACTCTACCACTGAGCCACTTTCCCAGCCCGCTGTTTTTTTTTTTTTTGAGCTTTAATTATTTTTTAGATAAGGTCTGTTTGTCAAAGGCTGTCTTCTTCAACCATAATCCTTCTACCTATGACCTCCTGCATAACTGGAATCATAGGTATGCATCATCACACCTGGCTCCTTTGTTGAACTGGAGCCTCAGTAACATTATGCCCAAACTGGCATGGCATGGTGATCCTCTCAGTCGCTACTTCTCTGCTAGTTAGGATTACAGGCACGAGCCATCCTGCTCAGCCTGTCCTAAGTCTTTACCCAAGTCTGTAATGTTTTGAGTAATGAAGTTTTCTATTAAGTTTTGAAGTCAGGAAGCATGAGTCCTTCAACTTTTGGGGTGCTGTTTTGTGTCCCCTGAGATTCTACATGAAGTTTAGGGTGAATGTTTCTATTTCTACTAAATATGTCATTAAAATTATGGTAGTGCTTACATTGAACCTATCGGTTGCTCTGGTTAGTACTGATATCTTAAAAATATTATATCTTTATGAACTTGGAATGCCTTATGAAGATTTGTCATTTTTAATTTCTTTTATCAATGTTTTGTAGCTTTCTTTTTTTTAAATTTAATTTTATTTTATTTGTGAACATTTGTAGCTTTCTTTATAGGAACATTTCATTTCCTTGGTTAATTCCTATGTATTTTATTCATTTTGGTGCTACTATAAATGGAATTTTTAAAATAACATTTTTTGATTGTTCATTGTTAGCGAATAGAAACAACTGGCTTGTGTATGCCAAGTTGCATAGCTTTAAAAATGTTTCCATAAACACCAGGATGTTTTTCTTGTGGCAGATTGTTTCCAAGTTGAAGGATGAAATACTTTTAATAGAGAAAGAACGCACAGATCTTCAACTGCACATGGCAAGAACAGACTGGTGGTGTGAAAACCTTGGCATGTGGAAAGCCTCCATTACCAGTGGAGAGGTAGGCTTTGCTGCTTTTCCACTTACTCCCTAAGTTTTGCTTTGCTTTGCTTTGCTTTGCCTTGCCTTGCCTTGCCCTGCCCTTCCCTTCCCTTCCCTTCCCTTCCCTTCCCTTCCTTTCCCTCCCCTCCCCTCCCCTCCCTTCCCTTTCCCTTTTCCTTTTCCTTTCCCTTTCCCTTTCCTTTCCTTCCTCCCTCCCTCCTTTCTTCTTTCTTTGTCTCTCACACTTTGTTTCTCACTTCTTTTTTCCTTCCTCATGCTCTTTCTCTCACACTCTTTTTCTTTCTCCTTTCCTCCCTTCCTCCCTTCTTCCCTTCCTCCCTTTCTCTCGTTCTCTTTCTTTTTTCTTCCCTCTTCTTCCCTCCTTCCCTCTCTTTTTCTTTTTTTCTCTTTCTCTTTCTTTCTCTCTTTGTCTCTCCCTCTTTTCTTTTCTTTTTTCTTTCATGCTGGTCCTGGGGCTTGAATGCTCTCCCTGAGTGCTCTCCCTGAGCTTTTGTGCTCACTTGAGTCACAACTCCACTTCTGGCTTTTTGGTGGTTAATTGGACAGGTGAGTTTCTTGGCAGGTTTTGAAAAGTGATCCTCAAATCTCACCATTCTGAATAAATAGGGTTATAGTCATGAGCCACCTGTGCTTGGAAGTTTGACTTTATAAGACAAGATTTTGTCCACATTCTTATAGATCATATTTGTTCATTGCCTTCCCCTCTGTTTTACTCTGGTTTGTCCATGATTAGGAGGTATCCCTGGCAGCGTAGCTTGGAATGATCTCACCCACCTCAAACAGAAAATTGTCCTGTTCACTGGAAAATTATCAGCAACATTGGTAGGAGAATATTTAAGATCCCTGAGATACTTATTTATTTTTTCTATTGATGATTGAAATAAATGGAAAATATTTTTTGAAATGTGAAAATAAAAAACTAAAAGTTTAGATACGTCTATTCCATTCTGCTTCTGTGACTTCAGTTGCTTAAATCTCAGAAGTTTAAAGATCTTTAATAATGAATGAATTTTTTTCCTTTTTACTGTCTAAAAGTTCTTCAAGGACTGTGGGATAATAATTTGCAGACTATGCTTGATCCCTTTTCATTTGTCTATAAAACCTTGCAGGTTGGAGTAAAGATACTTCTAAGCTTTGACTGTACATTGTTATTCCTGCTAGTTCCTCCCTCCCACCTATCAGTGAAGTGGAAAGTGAAAGATGAAAGTCACATCTTTCACATTATGCTCACATAGCAAGATCCCGAGCAAGATGGTATTAGTGATATGTTTCATCACTATTTGAAAGGCTTATTGTTGTTCGTCTCTTTCATTTTCTCAGTGGCTTGGCACTCTTTATAATTTATAATCTTAATTTCACATCTAGATAGCAAAACAGGATACATTCTCTGGGAACTGTTGTGGAAGAATTTATAGTATGTGAATGTTTAATCAAGTGCTTATTGGCACTTACTAGTACTCCCATTAAGCTATATTGCAGTATTGCACACATTTTTGAGGTAAGTTAGGGAGCAGTAGAACAGGGAAAACTCTTTTCAACCTTAGATATCATATAGAAAATATAATAATTGATAACTGTGGATGGAACTACTATTCGGTATAGATAGGAATGTGCTAAACTCAGAGATATGTGTCAAGACGGTCATAGAAGAGGACTGTGGGAGGAGCCACTCAGTTTTACTTAGAGCTGCCTGTGACATTTCTCAATATGTTGAAATCATCTTCCAAAGGCAGGCATGGAAGGTGGGAGGGAAGCAGTAGAAACACCTACAAAGAACTTTGCCCTGGAAATCAGGTTTTTATTCAAAAGTTTGCTGAAGAGATAAAGGAAATAGATAGGGGTGAGAGAGGTCAGCTGACCTCAAGCATTCACAGAGCACTCCAAATAGGAAGTATGTGGACGTTTTTGTTTATTTTGAGGTAGACTCCTGACTTTTCATCCTAGCCAAACCTTGTACTATATATGTGGTTCCAGGAAACTGACCCTGTCTGTGACTTTACTTCTCCATCCACACAGAGGGATAGTATTCTTCCCTCACAAAGTATAATGGAGTGCTCATTCAAGCTTACATGGCTTTCCTTTGTCTTTCTTGCGGACTGCTCTCTAGTTTTATGGTACAAATTGAGGCTCAGATCAGTGCATTTTCTGTTTTCTTTTTCTTACTTGTTGAAGTGTGTGATGTCTAAGTTGAGAAGTAAACAAGTTATGTTTCTCTATAAAATTTCATGAGGTAATGTTATGTTCATGGCAAAAAAAATTTTTTCCTGAGGAATTTTGGAGGCTAGGTGTGGTAGTAACATGCCAGTAATTCTCACACTTCAGAGGTTTACAAGTTCAAGGATAGCGTATGCTATGTAATAAGCAAGACCCTGTTTCAAAAAAAGAGAAATCATAGTTTTTGAATCCTGAAGTAAAGCTTAGGAAGCCCTCAGACAGAAGGTTAAGTCTCTTGTATTAACTTTCTTTTGCTACGTAACATATCATGGCATTCATTTATCAGCTCATAGTTGTAAAGACAAAAAAGTTCAGCATGATAAGACTGTATTCTGTGCTCATTGGATCATATGACTGAAAACCAAGCTATTGGCCCAACCTAGCTCTTGTCTGGAAGACTGTGGGGGGAAGAAACTTGTCCAATCTTTTTTAGGTTATTGGCAGAATTTACCTTCTTGTGATTGTAGATCTAACGACTCTGGCTTCTTCATGGCTTCTTTCTTGGACTTCCAATCTTTCTGACTTTATTTTGTTATTTGCCAGACAAACTTCTTCACTTAAAAAATTAGATCCACCCAAGGAATGTCTCTGTTTTAAAGTATAAAATCCGCCACATTCATAATCCTGGAGTTACTCATGGAAGGCATACGAGGAAGAGGAAAATGTTGGGGAATTTCAAATCTTTATTCCACATTCATTTATCTTGTCTTTGTTGTTGATTTTGATTTCTTCTCAAGGTTACAGAAGAGAATGGTGAGCAGATGCCTTGTTACTTTGTCACAGTGAGCTTACAAGAAGTCGGAGGAGTTGAAACTAAGAATTGGACTGTCCCAAGAAGACTCAGTGAATTTCAGAATTTACACCGGAAGCTTAGTGAGGTATGGATGCATATGAACACAGAGCCTAAAGTTGCTGAGCACCAAGAGATCCCAGAGGCTATAACAGGATTTATTCTCATTTTTTTATGTTGGTATTAGAGCTTGAACTCATGAGTTAGGTACTGTGCTTTTTTGCTTTTCTGCTCAAGGCTGGCACTCTATCACTTGAACCACAGTTCCATTTCTGGCTTTTTGGTGGTTATTTGGAGGAGTCTCACAGACTTTTCCGGCCTATGCTGAATCCCTATCATCAGATCTCAGCCATCTGGGTAGCTGGGATTACAGGAGTGAGCCTGGTTTATTGCAGGCTCTATGAATCAGAATACTGGTTAATCTTTTTCCTTGCTGCTGATACTGACATGGTGACATTTTCAGCCTGACATTTTAAGGTTACTCATAGATCAAACCACCTAGTTTAGATAAATTCTTCGGGACTATTGTCTGATTTCATTAAAAATTACCACAAATGCCCAGAGATGAGATCCCAGGGATTATCTAGAGCCAGTGGTTTTGAACCTGCCTGTTGTGACCCTTTAATGGGTAATGAATGCAATTATGACTTGCAGCAATAGAAATAGAATAGAATTTGTTGTATTTTTGTTATTGTTGTTGTTTTTTCTATCAGTCCTGGGGCTTGAACTCAGGGCCTGGGCACTGTCCCTGAGCTTCTTTTGCTCAAGGCTAGCACTCTACCACTTGAGCGACAGCACCACTTTTTTTCCCCTTCTGTTTATGTGGTACTGAGGAATTGAACCCAGGGATTCATGCATGCTAGGCAAGCACTCTACCACTAAGCCACATTCCTAGCTCCCATTATGTTGGATTTTTATCACATACATTGAAGGACACAGAAAAGTTCTTGTTCTCAACCTTGAATGCCAAGTGTGCTGTTAATTTGTTTTGTGACCTGAGAATTGCACTGGACCTTTTGGATTTCTTTTTCCTCATCAGTTAGCTGCAGATATTCATAGTCCCTAAGAAAATAGTTCTTATTAAGAGAATAAATATATACAAAACATGTAGAAAAATATATGGCACATAACCAGACGTGGTGGCTCATCTTGTAATTCTAGCTATTTGGGAAAAAGAAATGACAGTTCATGGCCAGCCTCAGGCCCTCCCCCCCAAAACAACAACAACAACAACAAATGCCTTCTTGAGAAGCTATCTCAAGCAGTGGTTGGACATAGAGGTGTAAGCTTGTCATTCTTAGCAACCTGGGAAAGCACAAATAGGAGGATTACAGTCCAGACATGTCTGGGCATAGAGCAAGAGCAAGATCCTATCTTGAAAATAACCAGTGCAAAGTAACCTACACACACACACACACACACACACACACACACACACACATAATACATCCATAGTTTGCAGTACAGCTTGAATTCCCTGCTATCGATTTTAGTTAACAATGTTTGAAAGCCACTTATTGAGGTCAATTTTATTTATTTGATAGATGAGGGAAACTAATTCCAGAACTTAATTGATTTATAGGATATGTATACAGTGGACTAATCAGGAGTACAATCTAAGTCATCTTACTTTCACATTTCCTGATGAACTGCATCTAACTCTCTTTCTGTTGAATATAATTACCCTTTAGTCCAGTAATAAAAAGCTTTTCAATCACTTCCACTTTCATTTATGTCCACTCTTCTCTTGCTCAGAATAAACTAATACTGCCAGAGTCCTGTGATCAACTCTCAGACTCCTTTTTGGACAATATTACTCCTTCCTTTGTTCTTTCCCAGTTTTTCCCTGCCTTCTCCACCCCAAGCCATATAGTTCATTTTCAACATAGTTTCTACAAAGTACTATTGCTACATTTGTTTACTCTATGTTCCTCCATTTTTGTCATTGACTGCTGCACACTATACCTACTTTAAAAGCATACTATTGTTTCTCATCCTATGGTCATTCCATAGAATAGAAAACAAAATATTTATTTCAAGGTAAGAATAAATTCTTCCCCAGGTTGTTAAGTAAAATTGACAGTACAGAAAGCTGCATTGTTTACTGCATGACAAATCACTAAAGTTTAGTGTAGTTTCTAATAAATATAGAAAGGAAAAATAATTTGGGGATGATTTTGAAATAAAACATAATTGAAAAATGAAGTGTATTTAGGATATAAATAATTACCCTGAAGCATTAGAAGAAGAAACAAAAGTTTTACTGTTCTGTGACTATCCTTTTGCCTCATTAGCATCTTTCCTATCTGTGGCCTGATGGCTGGGCTCTTTTCTTACCCTTGCTATTTCTGATTATGTCTGTCTTCCTACTATGAGAACATCTCCTGTTGACAACTGTAATTGGAAGCACCTTTTGGGACCCTGGAGATTTTAATCTTGCCTTCCAAATGTCACTGCCTGTTTCATTTCTCTAAAATTTCATATGGCTGGTCTTAAGGATAAAATAACAGCAAATATCTAGCACAGTGTCTGATAGAACGTAAGATTTTTGTCTATGAAAAGTAACATTGGGGCTGGGAAGGTGGCTCAGTGGTAGAGTGCTTGTCTTGTATGCTTGAGGCCCTGGGTTAGATTCCTCAGCACCACATAAGCAAAAAGAAAAAAGCCAGAAGTGGCGCTGTGGCTCAAGTGGTAGAGTGCTAGCTTTGAGCTGAAGAGCTGAGGG